CATGTTATTTCTCCCTCCCCCCTTAATACACAGCATTTTTATCATCTTTAAGACAAAGTAGCTGGCAAAATATTTAAGTGATCAGGAAGAAATGTTTTTATTTGCCCGCGTGTGAATTGGGTTATCTGCCTATCTTGTTTATGAAATTTGGGGCTGCCTTTCCAGCACAGTATGTTCGCCTCTCAAATCTTTCCCGGCTCCCATTTCCATATTTCTGCGTGCTTGTTCTTTGTTAATCACTTGGCAAGCGCTTATTTGAATATTAAAAATTTCTTTAATCATCAAAGGCAGGAGCACAGTCTCATGAATATTCATATTTTCCCCCCTCCTCAGACTGGATTCTAGTTCATTACCCTGCAGTAAAAGCCAAACAGCCATCAATCGCCCTCATTACAGGCTCTGGCGTTTTGATTGGCTGCCTGCTGCCCAGAGCTTTTTTTTTTTTTTTTTTAAATTTTCTCCTTCTCCTATGAGCTGTCTTGTACCTGCCAACAAAAAAAAAAAAAAAAAAAAAAAATCAACAATGCAAGAATAAATTCTTCTGGTTGAAAATCAACTTTGCAAACTTGTCATACAGTCCTGTGGCTTGCTGCCGCCTTATCAGCCACCAGCGCCTCCACCCTTCCCTCTTACCCCCTCCCCCCCCAAAAAAAAACCTAGGGAAAAAAGGGAGAGGGAAGAGAGAGAAAATTAAATAAATAAATAAAAAGGGAGAAACTTGAGCCTCAGAGATGAATATTTGTCAAGAGAGTTGACGTAAGTTTCATTTGCATAATGACTTTGTACTTCTGCATTAATAAAATTTGCATATGAAGCCATGTTAATTACTCCTGATCATGCTTTTTGCATTCATGCATAGTAATTTTCTCCGACTTGTGAGAATTAATGTCTTGGCATGGGGGGGAGGGGGCGCGGGGACTGTCAGGTTCCCTTGCCAGTGTCCCTCGCTCACATGCCTGGCTCCCTGTCTGTCTCCTTCGCTGATCTATGACTCATTTCTGCACTATCAGTAGGAGTTCTCGCCTTAAAAAAATGTATCCGTTGAAAGGCACCAGTAGGGAGAAAAATAGACCTCTCCCGCGCAGTGTATTCCGGGCCACCTCTCTGGCTGGGGACGCGGCATCTGCAGTCCTGCCATCCCGGAGCGGCTGCTGCCACGGGACGCGGGCGCTGGGCCGGGCTGGCTCCCCTCTCGCCGGGGTGGGGCGTTTCCAGGCGTTTTGTGTCTGCACGCTCAAGGTGGGCGTGTCGCCGCTAGTGCGCATGTGTGAGGCTTGGAGCGGAGCATCTGCAGGGCCCCGGGAGGGCGGAGGGCTGCAGACCCCTTGGAATGCTTCGGGCCGGGAAGGCATTGAAATGAGCTCGCGCCCGATGATGCTGGAGCTTCGGAAGCATTTTAGGGAGACTTTTTGGGGTATCTTTTTGTACCAGATACAGAGAGCCCGGTGGCAGTTTCTGGCCTTCCTAAGCCCAGTGCGTCTGGGCGCCTTCTTCAGTCTTTCTCAGCCTCAGTTTCCTCTTTTGTGAGAGTGGGACATGCTACCCCATAGGAAGGCTCTGGGCTTGCTTGAGATAACTCAGGTATTAATCGTTTATTTATTTTTCCTTAATTAAAGTGAACTTCCATGATTAAAAAAAAAAAATCAAGCCAGCCACGATTTTATTTATAAGCCCCCTGGATCCAACCTAAAACTGAGACGGTGGCTTGGCATCCCTAGGTGCATGGGGGTCTGTTCAGATTCCAAACGGAACCCATGGACTGCAAAATAAATCATTTTACATTTTTATTTACTCTCGTAATGCTGGGGTTGGACTCCAGGGCTTCTAGGTTGCTGGGCAGGCCCACTATCCCTGAGCCACATCTCTAGCCCCTGAAAGCTTTCTTTTTAAAACAGTGACTTGCAGGCTTTGTAGGCTCCCTCCACCAGGCAGCTCCAGTGCTGTGAGAAGCACCCTTGGGAGTAGGGAAAGTTCCAAAATGGAAAACTAGAAAGGGATCTGATCATTTAGTGGTCACTAAGACGGTGACTAAGTTTACCAGATGTCTAACTTTGGTTCATGTTGTCCTGACCCTTTCAAAATGAGGAAGCTGAGGCTCTGAGAAAGTGATCACCTTAGGTCACATGGCCAGGGGATGGCAGAGGAAGGATGTGAACCCAGGCTCTCTCCTGGCCCACCCCCAAGGCCGCTGCCTCTGGGCTTCCTGGCTCTCAGGTGCTCTTTACCCACAACTCCAGATTTCCTGGCTGCACTTTTAAAGGCAAACGCTCCTCCCTGTGGAAGGGCAGGGCTGGGGGATGGCCTGGGACAGGTATTGAGGCCTAGAGACAATGTCCTCACCTTTGATTTTTTTTTTAAGATTCTCTAAATGTAGAATTCACCATTTCGTCTGTCAGTGGTTTTGATTATATTTACAGTGTGTGCAGCCGTTACCACTGTCTGATTGCAGATAATCTAATTTATTCTCCTACACAGAAACCCTGCACCCATTAGCTCCCAGCCCCTGGCAACCTGGACCTTCCATCTCCATTCATTTGCCTGTTCTGGATGTCTCCTATCCATGGAATCATATGATGGATGGTTTCTTGCATCACTTAACTTGTGCTGTAGCTGCAGAGGGGGCTTCTTGAATCCCACCTTTGGGGAGAGCAGCAGTCTAAGCCGCCCCCAGGGACATCCTCCTGCATGGCAGAGGGTAGCCTAAGAGTCCCAGAGGCCCTCACTCTGCAGTCCGCTCTTTTGCTTCTTCTGAGCCACTCCTGAAGCAGGGGACTTCAGTGTGGTCAGCATTCCTAAGGAGGCCCTGGGGTGCAGCCCCAATCCCGTGCAGAGCTTTGTGTTATGGTATGTGACCTGCGCTGACAGACTCTGGTCTAGCCCACTGCTGCCCTTTGCTTCCTGCTCCTTGGCTCTTCTGCTCATCAGGGGAATGGAGTGAAGTGGATGTTATCTGGGACAGCTGACTCCAGGCTGTGAGGTGCTGCACAGCTGGGGTCAATGCTGCTGGCTGTGTTGCCATCTTGCCCAGAGCCCAGGAGCCAGAGTCTGGACTTGGCTCTTTACAGCTATTGATGGCTGGATTGAGGTCAAGGACTCTTAGGCTTCCCTGCCCTTCCTTTGCTGTCAGGATACCAGGTGTCCTGGTCCCTCCACCCCAATTGCAGCCATAGAGGGAAACAGAAGATATAGCTGGACTCATGGTCCAGAGCTCCCCAAGCCTCAGGCCCCACTTATTCCCACTTGCTGAATAGGTGGTTAGGGTATACTCAGCACAAAGCCACTGTCAGGGCCACAGAGGGTCCAGAGCCCACCATGGTCTGAGGGAGGTTCCATGTAGGTCTTTGAGGCCTGTAGTGGGCAGGGTCAGATGTACAATGTCCAGTTCCAGGCTGGGGGTTCAGGCAAGAGCTGTCCAGGGCAGACTTCCGGAAGGAGGCAGGTGACACTGGCCTCAGATGCAGACCTTTTTCGGTGCCTACACTAAATCTGGGGCTTGACCTTCCTGTCAGCCTCTGGGGTTCCTTGGCCACGCCCTTCTGGGGCTGTGGCCAGTTCTGAGACAGCCGGGGGCTTGGGCTAGCCTAGTGCAAAGTCTTCATGGGCCTGGGCAGTGTTGGCACTAGCTTTGTTTGTAGCTTCTTGGCAGGACATATTCAGAGTTCCCAAGCTTCAAGCTGGGGTTCTTCTCACATGCCACGAAGACCCTGATCCTGGATTCACATTTTAGAGAAACAGAGCATGTCAAAAAAGAGCTCTGGTTTTAGAGCCAGGCAGCAGGGTTTGATGGGGTCGGTTGCTGGGATCTGCAGTTTTCTGAGTCATGGCCTCTGTTTCCTGGTCTGTGCAATGGGTGTCCTAGGTCCATGCCCACCGTGGCATATTAGGAAGCTCAGTCACATGAAGACAGACAGGTTCCTGGTTTGCAGTGGGTTTGCTGAGCACAGTGGCTCTTCCTGGGATGGGGGAGTCACACATGGTGGCTGTGGAGTGGGCCAGTTTCCCTCATGCAGACCTGTGCTGGGAGGTGAGGTGCTGTAGCCTCTCTGGCGAGCTGACTGGGCTCAGCTGCCCATCATCTCGTTGATGTTTTCTTTTTGTCTCTCTGATGCTTCCCTGCTCAATTATTTACCCAGGGAATTTGGGCTTCTTCACTTGTGGTTTTGGCAAGGGCTTCACACAAATGTTTTGCCCTGGTGGTCTCTTAGCCATGTAAGATAAACGGCCAAATCAAACGCAGGCCTTGCCGGCAGCCCAGGCGAGCTGTAGGGCTGGGCCGAGGCGAGGCGGGCCCTGGCCTGGCCCTCCGAGTTGCTGTCAGACACTGGGGGTGGCGAGTGGGGGAAGCAGGGACTCCCAAGCCAGGGCTGAGACATGAAGAGGGGTCTGGGCCGTGCCAGGTTTTCCTTGGGGTGGAGGGAGGAGGGAAAGCAACCCGGGCTTGGGTGCTGCTTGCGGGGGACTGGAGAGGGGCCTCAGCTAGTAGTTAGCTAGGCAGCTCGCTCCTCAGTGCCCAGCCCCCTGGAGGTGGACTTGAGGAGCCCAGGCCTGTCCCAAGAGCCCATCGCGGTGTCAGACGGTGGCGGCTCCGAGCTTCCCAGTACTTCCCGGGGTAGCCCAGATCTGGGGGAAGAAATCCCCAATTGGAGCCTGCTCCAGTTTGCTACAGAAGACCCTTCCTGGAAGGGTCTTTCCTGGGAGTGGGGCCCTGACAGTCCCTATGTGCCTTAGCCCCCTACACAAGGCCCCCAGAAGTGGGGTGTCAGTCCCTAGACCTGGCAGCTGTGGATATAGGACTCTCTCCAGTGCCCCCTGCCCACTTCCCTGACCCCCTCTCCCCTGCCTGTGCCCTGGTCACCCTCCCTGCAGGGCTTGGCACCCCTGGGGCCTCCGGTCCTTGAAGGCTGGCTGCAGCCCTGCACCCTGGGCCCCCTCCCATGCCCTAAGCCCCTTGTGCAGTCCAGGGCCCGACTGACCAGTCTTTTCTATTGTTTTTTCTCCAGGGCCATGCAGGCCTGCCCAGCTGCCAGCGATGGCCCCCATAGCTGCCTCCTCCCACCCTCACACATCCGTGATCACTCCACCTCTGCGCGCCCTGGGCGCTCTCCCGCCCTGCTTCCCGCTGCCCTGCTGCAGCGCACGCCCGGTCTCGGGCGACGGGACTCAGGGTGAGGGTCAGACGGAGGCTCCCTTTGGATGCCAGTGTCAGTTGTCAGGTAACGAGGCCGCCGCGATGGGGGGGTGGGCTCCCGGGGATGGCGGGATGTGCCCGGGCAGAGCAGGGGACCTAAGGTGGGACCCAGGGAGGAAGAGCAACCCTCACCCAAAAGGCATTTTTGGGGTGCTCTGGGAAGCGGTGAAGGATGTCCACAGAACTGTAAACCCGTGACTGGTCCCCATGGGTCAGGAGGTCCCTCCACCCCTGACCCCCCCACTCCCAGAATGCATTGCCCAGCCTCCAAATTTCATCTCTTTGGGCTGTTTAGCTAAAGCTTAATTGGATAACGCTTAACATCTGAGGTTTTCTTCTGCCCCTGCTCCCCTGCCGCCCTGACGAGGCTGGGAGATTCCTTGGTTGTCTGTGTGCATCGCCGGAGCCATCCGAAATGCTGAGTTTCTCTTTGGGACAATGTGTTGCCCATTAACTTAGAGGGAAAAAAAAAAAAGTTGCTCAAAAGGAGCCTTTTAAAAAGCTGTGGCCACGGGAGGGAGTGAAACATTCTGGGGTGGGGGTGGGTGGGCAGAGACAGGGGCCTGGCTCTGGGCGGACCTCAGACCCTCACATCTGTGCTTGCCCTCGCTCCCCCTGCTCCCCTGGGAGGCCATGTGGCTGCCTATAACACAGACGGGCAGGCAGGGCAGCAAGGCGACGCTCGGCCTCCACCTCCTCCCCACTCTGTCCCCAAAGAGAACCCAAAGTCCTGTGGCCTGGGTTCCCCAGGAGCTCACTGCAGCTCAAGCAGGCCTGGTGTGCAGTGCGCGGTGGCTGCGTGAGCCAGGATGCTGACACAGACTCACGTGGCCATGGCTGTGGCCTGGTTTCCGTGGCAGGGGCTAGGAAAGGAGAGGGTGGCTGCTCACCCGGCACACTGCAGGCTTTCTCTTGACTCAAGATGTCAAAGGAAGACTTTGTATTGAGCAGGTTTTGCTTTTCATTGATGCTGTCCCAAGGGACAGTCCTTGGTGGAGCATGAGCTTTGCAAATGGCCCCTGCTAGCCTCTGCTCCAGGGCAGGAACTCCTGGCCTTCCTGCTGGTGGGGTGGCCGGCAGCCTTCAGTGCCACCCTGCTATGACGGGTGATGACATCATAGGATCTGGCTTCCAGGGGGAAGTTCTGTTTTTTTACTGGGCTTGTGCCTTAAATGCTCAAAGATCAGAATCACCCGGGAAGGAGTTGGAACTACTTGTAAAGAAGCTGGCTGCCTGTCTGGGGCTGCCTGCTCCCCAGGGTGGTTGGGGCTCCTGTACTGGCTTGGTTGTCGATTGCTCTGTGAGTCTGGGGAGGACCTTTTTGCCCAGCGAGGGTTGTCTGCTCTGTCTGGGTGGCTGCCCCACTCTCATGGCTTCCTGTAATTAGTGCAGCAGCCCTGCAGCCACTGGGGGGGCCACGCTATCAAAGATCAGCCTGAGTGTTTACGACCGGACTCGGTCAAGTTCTGCATGTAGAAACACGATCTCCTCGCCAGAGGCGCACCCGAGTTTGCTTAACCCTCTGTTGGCTCTGTCTCTCCTTAGAAGCTGCCAGAGTGGAGGAGAGTTAGCCATGGGACGGGGCACCTCCCTGGCAGGGTGGGCTTTCCTGGCAGCTTTGTGGAGTGCCAGGCAAGAGCCACTGCAGTCCAGTTGTGCAGATGGGGGTGGAGGTGGGGGCAAAGTCTGGGAGGGCATGTGGCTGGGCCAAGGCTGCAGGACTGGGATTTGTCTCTGGGAGGCCTCCTGAGCAGGCCACCTCTCTTCCCAGGGAGCCACACTGTCTCTGCCTCTGTGCAGTGAGGATGAGCAAGGTTTGCCCTGCCTGACTCCCAGTGAACTCTGCCATCATCGTCCCCACGTACTCTACTGGGCTCCTGATAAGGGCCATGCCTAGCGTGGGCACTGCCTGACACCAGACATTTGCGTGCGTTCTTGAACGCAGTCCTCACAGCAGACTCACACTTTACTCCCCCACTTTATGGATGAGCCTTGGAGACGTGGTGGTCTCACGGCTCACATGCACCCGCTCATTCTTCAGCCAAAAGCCATCTCTTGGGCACCTGCTTTTAGGCACCCTGCAAACAGAGTGTGGGCTTCTGCCCACCTGCAGCTTGCATTCTGCTGAAGGTATGGGGTGGGAAGGTGGGAGAGCAGGCAGCGAGGAAGTCGCCCTTGTCCAGCACCCGCCTCGTCAGTGGCCTGGGCGCATCTCTGGATTTTAGGGCTTCAGAAGTTCCAGGGCTCTGGCCTGCGAGCAATGCCATGCTTGGGGAGAAGAGTGGGCAAGGGTGAGGCACTGTTCCTGAGGTTGGGACCACAGTGGTCAGCTCCTGGGCCTTTCGGGAGCCACCCCTAAGGGGCCTGCTCTTGCTTCCCACCCTCTGCTCCACACTCAATGCTTTTCTCGTTCTTCCTTTGGTCCCTGCTTATTAGCCTGCACTAGAGTGGACTGTCATATTAGCCTGCACTAGAGTGGACTGTCATATTTGCTGATCAATTTCAATACCTGAAAATATCCCATTCCAGTGGTTCTTGTCCCTTTGTGGTTTCTGTCCCTGTGACTGGGCTGTTTGTTTAAGTGTTTTTAGTGCCTGTTTAATTAGTAGCTGGAATGGAGTCGTTCAATTCCCAGTAACGGTTAGGAGGAAGCAGTCCACTGTACCAATGGAGTGGGGCTGCCATTCTCACTTTGTTTTGTCCCTTTTTGGATGAGGATGCATTGAACCCATCTCTTGAAGTTCACAGGGCAAGCCCCTGTGCAAATGTGTCGTACACAGGTTAACTGTGTGCCGTAAATGCACTCTCGGTTATTTATAGAAGGTGTGAGTCTGGGGGGGGGAAGCATACAGGTGTGGTTCACTTCCATCCCAGGGTCCCAGAAGCTCAGTCCCCCACCCCGGGCCTCCTACAGTGGTCACAGCGGGAAGCAGGGACTCTGGGTCTGTTTCCTGTGGACTCTGCTGTTGTAATGTGGGGCTCTGAGCTGAGGCCCTGCTGGGGCTCAAAAACCTTCCCTGAGAAATTCCAGGTGAAGGCTGCGGGGTGCCTGTGGTCCTGTTTGGTCAGTGGACTTGAAGATGTCATTGCTCCTCTTTGAGCCTTGGGTTTTTTTTAAATACACCCCCCCAACACACACACACACACATGCACATTCACAGAGACATTTTCATGTTGTTTTCTGAAGCAGATCACTGGGGGCTGCATGGGGCTTGGTGGGGGTTCCACGATGGATATGGGGACAGAGGGTGGGAAGTGAGAGTAAGCCCCTCAGAAGTGGCTCCTGGAGAGGTCCAGGGGGACTGCCCACTATAGTCCCCTCCCCAGGACTCAGGAGGCACCTGAAGATTGCTGGGCTTCCCCTTCCCCCAGCGCTTCTTGTTCTGAGGTTTCTGTGATTGGAAGGTGGTCATAGAGCGTTATCAGATTTCTGGGGGTTGCAGTGTGAACTGGGTGGCCTCAGATGGGCCAGGGTCCTTCCCCTTTCCTCCATCTCCCCATCTGTGAATTGGGGGTACTATTAGCTCCTGGGGTTGATCCTAGGATTGCCTGGGGTCACATAGGCCAGGTGCTGAGTGTGAGAACAGTGCCTTGTGCTGAGCAGAAGGGCTTCCTACTTGGCCGTGCTGGGTGCCTGGCACTGTGCGGAGGTCCTCTCAAGCTGCGTGCCTGGCATCACACTTAAAGGTATTGAGCGCCTTGGCTGCCGCAGATCATGCACCAGCCTTAGGAGGCGAAAAAGGAATGTAGACACTTCATTGCATATTTAAAGGCTGCAAATGGTCATCAGCCACAGTGATTAATACATGCGCTTGGAGAAGTTCAAGGTCTCATGCAAGAACACACAGGATCCCGGCTCAGGGAAGTGGAAGTGTTTGGATTTAATAGAGGGAGTCAGTTGCAGTCATTAGTATATGCTGAAATCACAGGGCAATCTTGTAAAGTTAAATTCAATTTACTTTTCTACTGAAATTGTGCTTGCTGTGTTATTTAACTAGTCTGGGGTTTCTTGGCATGGGTTAAAGGGACAATAAAGATAAAAGAATACCTGTAAGTAAATAGTAGGGTTGAACAGTAGAATCTATCGTTTTCTCCTCCTTCAATTATATCCCAGCGTTCCTTCTGTGTCGGTTTTATAACCGGAGCCGTCCAATGGGAGGCCGTGGATTAGACCACCCTCGCTGCAAAGGCCTGATGCAATTAATACAGTCTGTCTGGAAAGTGGCCTTATTTCTGGAAGTTTTATGTTAATGATATGGTCTGCGCTTTGCACATTTYATACCAGAACAAGAAGCAAGCTGGAGTTGCTTTCTGAACTGGGTTTGATTAACAGCGGAGGATCCATGTGCAGCCCAGCAGCGTTGCGGACAGACGGCCACCTCCCTGAGCCCCCGCTGATGCTCAGCAGGGCTGCAGTGGGCACTAGGGCCTCCTTTGGGACTCTGGAGGGAGGGGTGAGTACGGGGTGAAGAAGAGAAGGGAGGCTGTGGATAGACCTCCTTCCGGTTGGTGCCCTGAGACTGGCTCCCTTGCACAGTAGCCGTCTTTAGGGTCGTCCAGGTCCCAGGGTCAGTGGGGTTGGCTTCTGGTAGATAAAGCGCTYTCCGGGAGTTAGTACAGATTCAGAGTCATCTGCACACCTACGTTGCCTAAGGGGCTGCTGCTCCCAGCACTCAGGACCCAGCATTCACCACGTCCCCGGAGAGTCCTTCCTGCCAGTTCCTGGATTCCGCGCTGGCGTGTGTCCTCTTGGGATGCTCTGCTGAGAGGTCTTCCTCCACCGCCTGCCTGGCAACCAGGCGCCACCCTCGGCCACTGGAGGAAGTGCCTGGAGCGCCACGGAGAGCTGCAGGAAGCCCATTCTCCGGAGCSTTGTAGGTGGCCGAGGGTGACAAGGGGCTTTAGTGGACTCCTGAAAAGTCCCCCGTCCAGTGTAGCTGGAAAATCACGTCTCCAGGGGCCAAAGGGGCCAGGAGTGGGGCCAGCCGAAGGACTCCTACAGGGGTGACCATCCTTAGATAAAAG